CCTGCTTTGTAGGAGTATTGTTCGTTACGTTTAATAAGTGCGATGTCCAGAAATGGATGAAAGACCTCATTCCTTCAAATACACCGATGGTCTCAAGTATCTTGACCAGATCAAGTGTTAGTTCCGGCAAAGGAGCTGGATAAGGTATAATACCCCAAGGTTCTGGTCGATCTCTTATTGAGGACAATTTCACTGTCCGAGTAGTATTTGGCGATGGTTGTTTTGTTAGAGCAATGCCACTCGTACTTGCTTGCGAGAGCAGATCTGATTGAGAGGATAATTTCACTGCCCGAATATCTGGCGATGGTTGTTTAATTACAACAATGTCACTCGTACTTGCTTGCGAGAACGGATCAGTCTCGTCAGCAGCTTGATTGTCCTGGTTTTGAAAAAACCAATTTTGTTGATATAGTATATATATATGTATATACAGTATATACATTAGTATATTTGGATTTTACGATGATTAATGGTTCTATACTAATCATACCTCTGTAACGAAAAATGTAATAAATTCTCTACACTGCAATCATTTACCTGACTCTCAAATTTGATGTCCCTTGATATTATTTTACTCATCTCTGTGTCCTCATACTGCAAGACAGGAATATCTAGCGTCATTATAGATTCATCCTTTTGAAGATCATGAAAAGACGGTGTTGCTACACTTTCTCCAGGTTGCGCGAGAAAAAGAAGTGTAACTTCTTCTTTATCTACAATTTCTGTATCGAAATCGATGTCACAGAGACAATTATTTCGATCCGGATCTGGCTTCTGCAGAATGATATGTTTATCGTGCATCATCGCCTTCAATGCGGGGTCTGTATCACTCGCTTTCGTAAGAGATCTGAGCACGGCATGTACATCAGTCTCGTCCGGTGATTGTTTCACGTATTTTACACATTTACATCTTTCACCAAACACGCAGTACACTTTTTTTTCCATTTTGGAAAAAAACCGTTTAGTTTGTGACAGATCTGTCTACGAACTGTTTATTTCGATCGATTTTCACGAGGCATCGCCTATTTACCCCCTACTTCAGTTAACTAATAACCGTAACCAAGCGCACGGCGCTCAGCTTCAGGTACGACGTATCGGTAATCCGACGCCGTTGCGTGCCCCTTGACTTCTAAATGTCAGTTTCTAAAACATAATTTATTTAAAATCTTTTTAAATAATTACTAAATATACTCTCGTCAATGTAATTAATAATCGGGAATTAAAATTTTCTTATTGAATTGGTTATTTAAAAAGATTTTAAACAAATACGTTTCAGAAACTGACATTTGGCAATCAAGAGGCACGCAACGACGTCGGATTACCGATACGTCGCACCTGAAGCCGCGCGCTTGTTTAAAGTTGTTAGACGAGGCTTGAGCTTGGGATAACGGCGGAAATAAACGTGTTTTCCGTGATCATCTTTCTTGTATTCACGTAAAAGTTACAAAAAAGTATGGATCGTCCAGAGCCAGAAAGGACAGAAAATTGTTCGATGTGTTTCGCTAAAATCTTAGACGGCGATTTAATATCGCATATCGTACGCTACCACAAATTCGAACGACAGTTTCAAGTTCAATGTAAACACGACGGATGTGGTACAACTTTCAATAAATGGAAGACATTTCGCCAACACCTTTGGCGAAATCACCGAAATAATGCACTCGAGACGGTGGAAGAAATAGAGCCTGTTATTCATCATCCTGATGTACATGACGAGCATGATGTAAACGATCGCAACGAAGGTAATTATTTTCTCAGTTCACACTTCACATAACAATTTTTAATTGATACTTATAAGCAAGGGGGTAACCACTTAATGTAATCATGGGACAGTGTCTCCGAAATCATTATGAAAATCGACAATTTATTACGATCACGCAATAATTGCAAAAAAGATAACCAGAAGCGTCCATCTCTATCATTTGAAGTCGAGGAAAGGACGTTGCCTGTAAATTTACGAGCGAATAATTTTTTGTGGCCATCAAACTATAGAAAATAAAACCTAGAAGGATTAGCGACAAGATTTAGGAATCTTGTCGACGTTAACAAAGTCTACATTGCGGTACGAGGAAAGTGTGACTTAGAGATTCTGAACGACTAATATACGCGTAGGGAGAGATGTAATTTTATAGCTATTCGTCCGAATGGGAAAGGTGGCTGGATATATTTTTTTATGTCAGTCACTTCAGCGCGGAAAAAAGTGAACGACCGATTGACCATACGATCGAATTTAATCGAATCTAGAATTATGATAGTCAGGAAAAAGAAAATATCTCTTACACTCTTATTCGAGGGGCCACACTGCGCATGCTGTAATACATTTGGCAGTCCATTGTAGCATGATATTTAGAAATCGGAGAGAGGATAGTAAATAAAACGTGAGATATAGATATAGATATATACATATTTATATGTAAAAAAAACTCGTCTATTTGTGTTCATGCAGATCATTGAAATCGTATCTTATACAAATGATTAATGTGTCATACGCACAATGTATTTCATGTTTTGCATTTCGATCTTGCATATCCATCTCCGACGAAGAATGTAAATTTTGGATGACAGCTTCTATTTTATTTTACATCTCTTTTAGTACATCTCCGTGGCGATTAAATTATACGATTGAATTAGAGCGAAACTGCGTAGAAACTATTTATACACAGGCATACATATTAAATCAAAGACATAATGTTTTGAGGAAATCTAACAGCTCTTGACAACGTCGCCTATTTTTAAACGTGCATAAGAAAATTATTTACAATCAGACGAAATTATATGAAATCATATGAAATCAAATGAAATCATGTAATCGGTGGGACAACATTTTAGCTAGTGGTTACCCCCTTGCTTATAAGTTTATCTTCTGTTAAAATTCAGATAATTTATTCATCTTTTTCTTCTGCTTAGTACACGAAGAGCCACACATTACTCCAATAGAACAACTTCAATGGCATGCAGCACAATTTCTTCTGCATATTCGAGAAAGCTGCAAGATTTCTCAAACTGCTGTTGATTGTATAATTGACGGTGTTCAGAATTTACTGTCTGTGCATTCGTCCATTATACTGGTAATATTCAGAATATAAATAAAAATGCTATTGCATACTTTACTTTATTAAAGTTTGTCATTTACAATATACAATAATTCAATTATGTGTATTTACAGAATGATCTTCAGCAGCAAGTAGATCATGCGACAAATTGTCTTGATTTTGACACTGTGAAGGAGATGTATGAACAGAGGTACCCTTCCTCAATGCTGTTCTCCAAAGTGCGTTCGAAGTACTGTCTTGACAAAATGCTTGTTGAGGAACTTCATATGGTGATGCCACAAAAACTCGTTCTTTATAAGGAACTTGCATGGGTTAAAAAGAAACAAACTCCATGTATACGGGACTTAGTCGAGGTTCAACGTTGTGCATACATTGTACCGTTTCTGGCCAATCTAAACATGCTCCTATGTAACGATGAAGTACGGCTTAATGTGGAAAATGCGAGGGCACAAGAAGGTGATGTGCTAAAGTCGGTGTTACATGGTTCTCAGTACTGCAAGAACGAATTTTTTCGTAAAAATCAAAACGCCTTAGCCATAATTCTTTATTATGACGATCTCGGGGTAGCAAATCCATTAGGTGTCAGTGCAAAAAGTCCATGTTTTACTGGACTCTTGCGAATATCCCTCCTGAAGTACGATCGACACAGAATACAGTCCAATTATTAGCAATCGTCAAAACCGAATATTTGAAAAAAGGTGGGCTTCAAAAGGTACTAGAACCATTCATCACTGATATTATAACTCTGCAAACCCAAGGAATCACTGTAAATGTCACGGAACAGGAGAAAAAGGTTTTTAAAGGATCACTTCTATTTTGCGCGGGGGATACTCCGGCATCTGCGCTGATGGGCGGCTTTAAAGAGTCCGTATCAGCTTATCGTCCATGTCGCCAATGTATGACGACGAAACACAACTGGAAGACGAATTTCTCAGAAGACAATTTCATGTTGCGAGACTATGCAACTCATGAAGATCATATAGCAGCAATTAGTGAACTCCATGTTCCGAAGAACACTATCGATTTTTGGAAAAAACGATACGGTATCAACAACAGAAGCCCATTATTGGATATACCAAATTTCGACGTGACTACCTGTTTACCTCAAGACACGATGCATGTCTTGATCGAAGGCATCGCTGTAATTGCTTGTCGAAAATTGTTGACATTTTGCATAGAAGAGAAACATCTTTTCACGTTAGACGAATTCAACGATCGCCGCAGTCACTTCAACTACGGACCTTTGCAATCGGACGCACCTGGAGTTATATTACAAGATCATCTCCATGCAAACGATCATTTATGTCAAACAGCATCACAGATGATTGCCTTGGTTCATAGCTTACCATTTTTAATTGGTGAATGGACAATAGATAAGGAAGAAGAAGATATTTCTGAGCGAATGGAGTGCCACTCCCTTCTTTTACAAATACTGAATATTTGCTTGGCATACGAAGTTCGTATAGAATCTGTTGACCTGTTGGCTCGTATGATAGAGTTGTACATTCAACGGTTTCAGCGCCTCTATCCTGCAGATTGTATAGTGCCAAAATTTCATTTCCTCACTCATATACCGCGATGCATCCGAAAATTTGGACCAGCACGACAGCAATGGTGTTTTCGCTTTGAAGCTGCCCATGCTTACTTCAAATCGTTGGTACCAGTCGTAAACAATTTTAAGAATATGGCCTATACCTTGGCCTATCGACACCAGGCACGATTATGTTCAAGACTCGCAACATATCCTGGCGCGCCCGCAAAAAAGTTCTTGTATCAAGGCGATAAAATATCTCCCGGAGTTACGTTGCTATTAAATAATCTGCCAAATGCAAGAATATTTCACAGATTCGTAGCTGAAGCTGACAGAGACACATGTCTAATATTGCGGACACCTAAGGTAGTTATCTACGGTACCACGTATAAACCAAAGTCCGTTATTCTCATGGAATGTAATGATCTCACTGCCTCTGTTTAGTGAGATCAAAGAAATTTTTGTACTTGGTGATCGTATATTTTTTCTTGTCACATTTCTTCTAACCCTGTATTATAATAAAAAGCTTAATGCATACTGCATTGAAAAGGGGAACAATAATTTTCAAGAGTTGATCACGGTCCAGAATTTGAGTTTTCCCCATCCGCTTTTGCATTTCAAACTGATGAAAGCAACATACGTTTGCTTGTTCAATCACGAACGAAATGAATTTATTGGATAAAATAGAATATTAATATACCAATATTTTTGCATCACGATTTCACGATTGCCTCATTATTTTATATATTATATGTACATAATAATATATGTATATAATAAATATACATATAATATAATGGTTAAATAAAATTATGGTATAAAATAAGGGTTATAATATACTTATAATAAAAATATACTTATGTTTAAAATATACTTATGGTATAAAATAATGGTTAAATAAACTTATGCGTTATATACATTATAAACGGAAACATATATAGTTTATGCAAAAGTAAATAACTTTAAGAGAAATTGTGTTTTTATTGTATCTCAGTGAATATATTAATTAAAAATTAGATTAATTTTATTATAAACGTTGACCCGATAACACGTTTAAAATGTATTATTTTTTGGCGTGTTACTCTCATTTAATGTGTAGCCATAATCGTGTGTTGCGAGGTACGATGTGTGTAACTGGGCATTTTATCAATGGTTTTAACACACTTTACGTATGTTCCATTTTGACTGTCATTTATGATACACACGTCGGAAGCGTGTTCCAAACATAACGTAGCTAAAACGCATTGAATTTACGCGTTACGGTGTTGAAACAACGCACCAAAGCACCTAAGCAACGCAGCAGACGCTCCCTACACACGTAAAACGCGTGTTGTGCGTTATTTTCACATACTTTTAACACACGTTAAACACGCCAAGTTTTTGCAGTGTA